ACGCGCCCGCGCGTGCCGAAGTTGAATTGTCTAACTTTTTGTACACGACGCGCAGCACAAATCATTGGAAGAGAGACTGATCCTTGGCTCGCTGTTTGTGAGTTTCCAGAATCTAAATAGTTATCAGGACATCAACAGGAGGGAATTCACATGGCAGAGCATCCCCGCTAAACTAAACGCAGGCCTATCAGGTAAAGTTATGTATAATTTTAATTTAAGTTAAAAAGGCTACAGCTGCGTAGCGCACAGAAGCCGTTGCATGACTATCCATGGAGCGCCTGTCATTCACTCGCGGAGCTCTGTCTCCCTTTCTGTTCACCTGAGAGAACCTGCCAAAGCCTCTCCACTGCTTGTTTGGGTGGGTTATTTGCTGGCTGACCAACATCCCACCCCTCCTGTGATCATGGTTTGACTGTAGGCCTGTGTATTCAGAGCCAGTGATCAACGGACTTTCAAAATAATAATAATAAAAAAAAATGCGTCAACGTGCGATAAAAAAATTGTCGGCATTAATTAATAAATGCGTTAACGCGATAATAACGCGTTAACTTGCCCAGCACTAATATATATATATATTCGAGTTCAGCAGTGTGCGACCAAGAAGAGGAGGAGCCAGCAGCACGAGCAGGAGCACCAGCACCAGCAGGAGCACCAGCACCAGCACCAGCAGGAGCATCAGCACCAGCAGTAGCATCAGCATCAGCATCAGCATCAGCACCAGCATCAGCACCAGCACTAGCATCAGCACCAGCACCAGCAAGCAGGAGCATCAGCACCAGGACCAGCATGAGCACCAGCACCAGCAGGAGCATCAGCATCAGCACCAGCATCAGCACCAGCACCAGCAGGAGCATCAGCATCAGCATCAGCATCGCATCAGCACCAGCAGAAGCATTAGCACCAGCACCAGCAGGAGCATCAGCACCAGCATGAGCATCAGCACCAGGACCAGCAGGAGCACCAGCACCAGCAGGAGCATCAGCACCATCAGGAGCATCAGCACCAGCAGGAGCATCAGCACCAGCAGGACCATCAGCACCAGCAGGAGCATCAGCACCAGGACCAGCAGGAGCATCAGCAGGAGCATCAGCACCAGCAGGAGCACCAGCAGCAGCACCAGCACCACAAAGAAGGAGAGACAGAGAGGACGAGTTTTTGGACTTGATTAGAGAAGACATGGGACTGCAGAGGCGAGGAGAGTAGGAAGAGGATGGACAGGCTGTTTTCTCTTCTTGAAAGAATGATTGAGAATTTATTTATTTACATATATATATATTCTTGTTTAACTTTTTTTCACTTACATTTTTTTAAAAGGAAAACATTATTTCTTTATTACTCGTTATTTCATCCAACTTTAAATGTGTAAATAAGAGAATTCATGGCTCTGGACATTGTTTATTTTTGTAATGGTCTTTGAGTGTTTGCAAGGTTGATACATTAAAACTATATACTTTTGTGTAGTTTAATGTAAAACAATGCGTATTGTTGCTGTCCTGTGAGGAAAAAAAGTAGGCTACTTCACATTTGTACATGAATACTTAACAAAGTATGTAGTTCCTTACATTCCACCACTGATTATTTTGAAAATTAAAGTAACAAAATGTAGGTCTATTGTTACAATATTAAAAAATTGTTGCTAACTACAGCTGCGTCCCATATCAAAGTGCGCATCTGAAGCGCTCGGACCGATCAAGCCTACGGAGGATTGTTCTGGTCGCCTAGCAACTGTGACTGACAGCTGCCGATGATGAGTGGGAGTAACGTTTACACTAGACATTTTTATATTCAACTGGTTTTAAATATTCAAATGGGGTTGAAAACCTGTGTAAATATATTCACCATGGTCCATTTCTGTACATAATAAAAAGAATACATAACTAGCCTACAAAATCGCATCAAGGTAGCCTACGATATAAGTGAACATTTGAATATATATATGTGTGCCTATGTATGTTTTATTTTATTTTCATATTTCATTACATTATTTACGCAAGTTAACACCCAATACTTGAACAGTTTAAAGTGTAATCCGGCCATTTAGGACGCAGCCTCTGAATAGGTACGCAGTAAACCAGCTCTGGCCATGGTCTTGGTTAAGCCGAAAATGCATGACTCGGCGGCGCCGGGGCTGAAACATCCTCCAAATGTCCTCCAGTAAAATATAAAACAAAAAAATGGCAATAGCCAATTCTGGCTCCATAGCTGTTTACTCAATTATATCAAATGAATTATCAGGATGGCAGCTGTACTCTCGCACTGTTGCTTGGCGCCAGGAGCGGTAATAGGGAACACCTGGTTGCGCAATTAGGAAATCCTACGAAGGCTACATAGTGCGTCCTTCGAAGGACGAATAGGTTGCGGCCTTCGAAGGATGCAGCCTTCACATTGGGACACAGCTCTAGTATCCTCAGTGTCATATGTTCCCTATGTCTTGTCAGGACTTTTGTATTACTTCCTGTCCCAAGTAGAATGTCTGTTGGAGGACCATCAAAACAAAGTGTTAGTAGATATTAAGCAGACAGTCTACTAACACTCCAATGAGAGTTATTTAACATGTAGTTGCAAATTTATTTATAGTTAGTAGAACGTCTAAAGTGGAACATCAAAATAAAGTGTTACTGAGTTTTCTAGCACCGTGCTTCTCAAACCGGTCCTGGGGACCCCCCACCTTTGCACAGAGTCCATTGTCTTTAATTTAAGCAGATACTTAACCTTTTAAGAGACACTCCTTTTTGTGAGTCTCAGGCCTGTAAAGGGTAAGACGTTATACCTTTTCCCACCAGCATTTTCTAAAAAGTTGCCAGTCAGTGCCAAGTCAACTTTAATGGCTCCCAGAATATTTTGTTGCATTAATATGTAAACAAACAATACATCAAACGAAAGAACTCTAAAGAAGTTTGTAAACCAACACTTCTAGTTTCAAACATTTCGAACAATCTGAGAAAATTATGTTTTTGTCAAATCTCATCAATAGTGGGGAAAAAGTTAGATACAACTAAGGGGGTTTCTACACTGGCAGTTTAGTTCGGATTGGGGCAGGGATGCGCACAGAGGTACCGAACCTGAGACTACCTGAAGGAGGTGGTCTGAGTTCGGTTGCACTCGAACTGTGCCGCGATTTGCAGGAAGTAATGTAACCTGTGCATGCTTTGTAGACGATTATGATGTATTTAGTTCAATAAAACACATGTAAGAGATGATAGTGTTCAGGGCTTGACATTAACTTTTTGAGGCACTTGTCCTTCGGACAAGTAAATTTATGTTTCTCTTGTCCATGCACAAAAGTCACTTGTCCGGGTAAAGATTTATAATTTTATCTAGGGCTGCACGATTTGGGGAAAATGTCATATTGCGATTATTGAGTTCAATATTGCAGTTGTGATATGCGATTGCGATATAATAAACAAATGGTTTCATGAGTCAACTTGTTTGGTTCTAAACCAAATGCACACACAGATTAGTGATAATTCTGAAATTAGCAATAACAACTAAATGATTGATAACACCTATAATGATCAATAAGCCATTGATGTCTGGATAAAAATTAACTGTCTAACAGGTAGGACATATGCAGAAATTGAATAAAGTTATCAAACAGTCTGGGCTGCATAAATTATAAATTATATATAGACTACTACTTATTGAAGCTACACAAGTTCTTTAGTCAAGAGCAGTGAGTAATTTTCTCTGTTCCCTTTGTTCTTTCAGTAACTTTACTGACAGAACGCTTTATTGGTAGCTGGCCCTTTAAGAGCAGCCGCTGTGGACAGAGACGCGGATATCACACGCGCCTCATTCTCTCACGAGTCACAACTCTTTATGTCCATCATAAGACTGTTCTTATGTTATGAAGATACTCGACAAATGACATTTTGGCTTAATTGTGTGTGTTGTTGATGTTCGTTCAAGCGCGAAAGAGAACTTCTGGCGCGCGGTCTGTGCATGCGCATTATACTGTGTTGTGTTTATGTACTTGTCAGGAGATGGCGCTGTAGTTCACATGATGTTACCTATAAAAGGTGTAGAGTAATAATGGAAGTGAGTGCACCTGCTGCCTAATCATGTAACTGCCGGCAGTGTGAATTGTTTGTGGGTTTGAATAAACCTTAAAGAAGTAAGAAACTTTCTTGTCTTAATTACCTGAACTCAGACATAACATACTGACGCACGTCTTTCTGTGAGTCACATTCAGGACATTCACAGGCAGCGCGAAAAAATGTGTTCGTTTCAAATCGGTAAAATTAAATCTGTAAAATAGACGTAACGAGTGGCACATAACGTGAAGTAACATGGCATTTTTTTTTTTTTTTAAATTGAACTTGTCCGGTCGGACAACTAATTTTCTCTTCTACTTGTCCTACAAAAAATCCACTTGTCCCGGACAAGCGGACAAGCCTTAATGTCGAGCCCTGGTGTTGATGATTTACCTTGGATACGAGCTAGAGTGAGCCTGCAGTGTATTTGCGCATAGCGACTGCAATCAGGGCAACAAATTAATTGCAATCCACTGTCTCCTCAAAAGAGTCTGTTTGCATGCAGCAGAAGGCCACCTTGTGTGACACACGCACATACAGTAAACCCAAATGTCGTTTACTCAGCAGCACATAATAGCACCAAATTAATAAAAAACACAATATATTGACCCGCGTTCTGTTCTATCACACGTTTGGGAGGACGTAAGATGAACGCAAATGCACCAAGGATCAAGTTGAGTGTGAAACCAGACCAACGCTGCGGGGGAGCCGGGAACAGTTGCGTTCGAACTCGGTCCACAGCAAACGTGTGTTTTAGGCATGTCACCTCTTTAGATGGTATCCGATATGGTCCACATTTAAGAGGTGATGTGAACAGTTAAATTTGAGCAGAAAAACAGATATTGGCTACATTCAACCACGCTAATGAACATAGCATTAAATTTACAGAGATTTTCTGGTGCCATTTTAAATTGCAGAACCATATAAAAGTATTTACACAAAAAAGAAATGTAATGTAGGCATGACTTTTCAGGTGTATCTATAAATGTGATAGAATTGTTTTATTACATGGATCATAATTAAATTGCCTTCATCCAAAGCGAGTGTGCAGATTAATTTTTATATTGCTCCTTTTTCTAAATCCATTGTCACACCGATGAACACAGCTGTGTCTTTCCACAATGCGTTTGCAAATGATGTTTCAGGTCTCTGTGATATGTGAAACTCTCTTCACACTGAAGACACTTGTAAGGCTTCTCTCCAGTGTGAAGTCTCATGTGAACCTCAAGGTTCCCTTTAAGTGTGAAACTCTTTCCACAGTGAGGGCAGGCGAACGGCTTTTCTCCAGAGTGACTTCTCACGTGAGTCTTAAGATTTCCTTTTTGTGTGAAGCTCTTCCCACACAGTTTGCAGGTGTAAGGCCTCTCTCCGGTGTGACCTTTCATGTGGATACCAAGGGATTCTTTATGTGTAAAATTCATTCCGCACTGGCTGCAGGTGTAAGGCTTCTCTCCAGTGTGAATTCTCATGTGAGTCTTGAGGCTTACTTTATGAATGAAAGTCTTTCTACAGTGAGAGCACATAAAACGCTTCTCTCCAGTGTGACTTATCATGTGATATGTAAGATTTCCTTGTTGTGTGAAGCTCTTCCCACACAGTTTGCAGGTGAAAGGCTTCTCTCCAGTGTGAAGCAGCATGTGAGTCTTGAGACTTACTTTATGACAGAAACTCTTTCCACAGTGATGGCAGGTGAAAGGCCTCTCTCCGGTGTGAATTCTCATGTGAGTCTTGAGGTATTTATTGAATCTGAAACGCCTTTCACACTGCTGGCATTTGAAAGGCTTCTCTCCGGAGTAAAATATCACATGCCTTTTAAGGCGCTTTATGTCTGGAAAACTCATTCCACACTGACATAAAAAACAGTCCTCTTTTGATTGAATTCTCCTATGGTGATTAAGGGTTTCTGTCTTTTGAGCTCTTTTTTTTGCTGAGCTCTTTTCAGTCTGTGAACAACTAAAAGATTTTTCTCCAGTTATGAAATAGTGATTTTTTTTCTTCCATTTCATTCAGTTCTTGACTCTCTACTTTCAGCAGCATCTGGTCTAAGGTGAAAAGAGAGAAATACAAGTTTACACCAGTCTAATGGCACAAAGCAACAGACATTTAGACATTTAAAGCTGCAGTCCGTAACTTTTGGCGCTCTTAGCAGTTAATAAACAGAACTGCAGGAGTCTTGTGTAAAAAAATTGTAGCCGGAGCTACTTCTCTCTGTTTATGTCTATGACGAGTCACGCAGGTACTAGGCTACTCCGCAGCTGTACGACCCGTACCAGTCTAAAGTAGTCAGCATATAAACACTTATTATAGGTGTATTGAAGTAAATCAGGATAAGACGAAAACATGGTTTGGAAAATGGATTCATGATGTACTCGCTTAATAATTTATGAACACAAAAAAAAAAAGTTACAGACTGCAGCTTTAAAGCAACAAACAAAATATATGCTAGATCCTATACCCACTAGGCTGCTGGAAGATGTTTTCCTGTAGTCACAGTATCTCTTCTCAATATTGTTAACTTTTCACTTTCTGACACTTCCCAATAAAGGTTGAGGACGACTGATCAATGTTATTGAGGCAACTGCTTAATAGGGACTTTAAAGACATTGTATGAATTTCTGCTACAATATTACTTACCACAGTATATCTTAACTAAAAATTAATGACAAGCTATGTAGTTTAATGCATAATAAACATTTACCTAAATAACGCTGACACACCAGTGAAACATAAAACAATGTGTAAAACCTTGAGAACTACAACAACAATAATGTTAAACTAAAATTATTTTTCAAAACATCTAGCTCAGGGATGGGCAACTTCAGTCCTGCAGGGCCACTGTCCTGTAGAGTTTAGCTCCAACCATAATAAAATGGACCAGAATAAGGCTTCTTAACAAGAATTAATGTCTTCATGATTACTAGAAAGCTACAGGCAGGTGGATTGAGTAGTTCACCTCGCCCTACCCTTTCAATGTATTGTTTACCTCTTTCTGACATGTTGACATTCTCAATCCACTGGTGCTTGCAAAACTTAAGCATGGGCTTGACATCCAGTTGAGGACATAAAATCTTTGTGACGATCATGGAACAGCCAATAAGGGATAGAGAGTCTGTGTGAACTACTCAATCGAGGTGAACTACTCAATCCACCTGCCTGTAGCTTTCTAGTAATCCAACAGTAGCTGCTCGTATCTCAGCCTGCCTGACAGACATTTCTGGCTGGATGAAGGACCACCACCTTCAACTAAACCTTGCGAAGACAGAGCTACTTGTGGTCCCGGCCAACCCAACACTTCATCACAACTTCTCCATTCAGCTAGGCTCGTCATCCATAACTCCATCAAGGTCAGCTAGGAACCTTGGGGTTGTAATTGATGATCAGTTGAAATTCACAGACCACATTGCTAGAACTGCCCGGTCCTGCAGATTTGCCTTGCACAACATTAGGAAGATCAGGCCCTTCCTTACAGAGCATGCTACACAACTCCTTGTCCAAGCACTTGTTTTATCCAGACTGGACTATTGTAATGCTCTCCTGGCTGGTCTTCCAGCTTGCTCTGTCAAACCTCTACAATTGATCCAGAATGCTGCAGCCAGAGTAGTCTTTAATGAGCCGAAGAGAGCACATGTCACTCCTCTCCTCACACAATTGCACTGGTTGCCAGTTGCCGCTCGCATTAAATTCAAGGCACTGACGTTTGCCTACAGAACAACCACTGGCACTGCTCCCTCTTACCTAAACTCATTACTTCAGACTTATGTGCCATCCAGAAACCTGCGCTCTGCTAGCGAATGTCGTCTTGTGGTACCATCTCAAAGAGGCACAAAATCTCTTTCTCGGACCTTTACCATGGCTGTTCCCTGTTGGTGGAATGATCTGCCTAACTCAACCAGAGCTTCTGAGTCAGTAGCCACTTTCAAGAAACTGCTGAAGACATATCTTTTTCGGCAGCACTTGATTCAGTAGAATTAACACTTTCTCTTCTCTTCTATTCTATATATATATAAAAAAAAACTGCACTAAAATTAAACTGAGAGGGGTTATAGCACTTACGTATTGTTGTCCTACTGTTAGTTTAACTGCTTCTATTGTTCTCATTTGTAAGTCGCTTTGGATAAAAGCGTCTGCTAAATGAATAAATGTAAATGTTCAACTTCCAATACGATGGATTTACATCAGTTTCTTAAAATAAGGAGCCAGCACAAAAGCAAATCTGGCAGCTGTCTTGCTGTCAGGGAACATAACCTAAAAAAGCTGGCTTGTGTCTTCAGCAAGAATGGTAGAGATAGTGAGAATTGGCCACTTTTAACACCCACAGTACCTCTGAATGTGGGGCTTAATTTATGAACAAAGCACTCCTTGTTTTCCTTGTTTTATGGTGGATGAGAGGGAAAAGAGGTATAAAAATAACGGTGATCGGATTGGGAGCTGACTTGTGTACCTTTAGCATGGCTAGATAGTGCTGCCTCTCCCATATTTGAAATGTTGAACTTTTACGACACATTCTACATTTTGCCATGCATTGAACTTTTCCAAGTGAAGTCAAACATTATTAAATGTGCATTTTCCTGGCATTGCATGAGTTTATATTTTAAGTTCAAGCTACAACTGAGTTGAACGCCAAACGAACGTTAAGTATTGTAATTTGTTTAACCAATATTATCAATTAAACATATACTCTATTATACAGATATTTGTGAGACAGATTTCCATGACTTTTTCAAAACTTTTCAGTTTGCAAGCAAAGTTGCATATTTAAAGGTAGTGACTTCAGAAAGCAAAATATGTTAAGTGCTTTTTTATTTTCACTGTAACACATTTTTATTATTCTGATTAGATAATCAAGTGTACTAAAATATAAGCAAATAAACTGTCAGAGTATACCATTTTCATATGTGTCTAATTTCCATGCTTTGACCTTTGTGTAGATATTTAAAGATGGCTATATTTAAGCATAACTGTTTGGATTTATATGAAATGGTAACATATATATATATATATATATATATATATATATAAAGGGGGCAAGCAATTTGTTCCCAAAGTGTATTGGAGAAAAACTTTTATTTCATAATGTGATTTTCATCCCACTTTCAATTCTTTTACTTCAATAAAAGGTTAGATTTTTGCATTAAAAAAAAAGATATCAAAAGGATAAACAATGCAGATTTATTTTTTACAGCCATCTTTGATCATATTTACCAAGGGAAATTTATTATGGAAAATAATTATGACCAGCACTGTATGTCCATCTTGCTTGCATATAGTAGCAGAGTTTGTGCTGAATACAATATAATAGACATTAATATGTTATAAGCAACAGAAATAAGCACAAATGTCAGGGCATGTCAGAACACCTCCAGGGCCCAAAAAACACCTCAGACCAGTGCGGTCCAACCTAGGTATTGTTATCGGTAAAATTCCCTACAGTCAGTCAACCTCTAATATTAACCCTCTGGGCCCTAATGGTATTTTGGGGCCCTGAAAATGTTTTGACATGCCCTGCCTTTTTTCAGTTGCTTAAAAACATATTAATGGCTAAAGTCTGATTACACTGTATTCAGCACAAACAGGGCTACAGTAATATGTGAGCAACATGTACATAAAAGTTTGTAGTTTTGAGAAAATAACGTTTATGCATGGGTTTTAAAAAAACTAAACTTGTAAGTCACTGAAATAAGGCCATCTAACACATAGTAAACATTTGTTCACAAGGCTTTTTTAAACTGGATCTTGTTGCCTAGAGTGTTTTCTTCAAAACAATCTGAAAATCATCATGATCACTCCTTCATACAAAACAATAGAGTCATTTAACTTCTGTAAGACACGAATGGCTGATATGTGAGGAGGCATGAACCATCATGAATAATGCTGTGATTCACACCTGAAGAGACAAAGACCCTCCCCTGGGAATATCAATGAGGAATGTGACAGAGGAAACTATAGAGAATGAATGTGAGGAGACTTAATGATTGAATGTATTGTTTTGATTATTCACAAAATCAAAAGTTTAAGTTAAAAGAAGTAACCTGACTATACATTCTTTACACAGACTTTACTTAAAAACTTTAGACCAACACTACCGTTCAAAGGTTTTAGATCTGTACGTTTTTTTTTTAAAAGAAGTCTCTTCTGCTCACCAAGACTGCATTTATTTGATCCAAAATAAAGCAAAAAGTGTTTATTTTTTACAATTTAAAATAAATAATAATTAAATAATTAAAATAAATATTTTAAAATGCAATTTATTCATGTGAGATTTAGTATCATATTTGGATATTGGAATAGTAAATACATTTAAGATAGGCTACTTAATTTATTATTCCAATATCCAAATATGATACTAAATCTCACAGGAAAAAAAAGGCTTTTATTTGTGCCGTGCTGTCTTTGCATTTGAACATTGCACATTTTAAACAGGACACGCATTAGCTGAATAAACGTTAGCCAATACAAACTTATAGAAAATAGTTGACAATGAATAGACAAGAGTCCTGTCACATGACCAGTAATAGCAAAACGAATCACTTATTCTTAAAAGAATATCAAGTATAAGTTCAGACGAATCCGACATGGGGCTGTGTTAATAGTAAAACGTCCGTCATTTAACGAATTTTAAAAACACGGATGGATAATACAAAATGTTTGCAGACATTTTGACAGAAAAAAACACAACCAAGAACAAAATTTAAAATTAGCCCGTCAATTTTCATTTTACAATTATCGTCTCCTACTGTGTGCGCGGTCTGTGTTTGAGAGAGAGAGAGAGAGAGAGAGAGAGAGAGAGAGAGAGAGAGAGCGCAGCACTGACACAACGGTACTTTTAATCCGTAAGTAACTAACGCGCTAGTTTTCATACAAAATAAATATGTAACTTAATTAGGTACTTTAGTTATTATTAACAAAATAACGTAACACATGCAGGCTACGTTTCTCAACACTGAGAATGAATAAATAAACGGCTGTTTCTCCAGACTCGCCCTTATCAGTAATCCAAAAATCACAGCACTTTCATAATCAGTAAGCAATAGTGATTTTAATTTTATTTAGATTTATTGTTCAGCATTACTTAAGCATTTCATAATTTGCATGGCTGAATGATGTTTTTCTCTTATCTGAGCGACCATGAATGACGGAGTATTTTAAGATAATCCATGCGTTAATGAGTTCACTCAATACTTCAACTTTCCACATCCACCCAGCCCGTTTCCCTTCAGGAGTCAGAAGCACCGTGACTACTGTCCTCGCTTATGAACTCAGTCAGACGGCGGCCGCGGGAGTGGAAGCGGATCGAGCGGGATTCATTATTGCTGTCGATTTTCAGTCTCTTTTTAATGATAGGCCTTACGCAATCTGTCAATCATCCCCGCTTGCTATTTGGGGAATGAACCCAGAGCTATGATTGGTCGAACTCCGCTTCTTTTGCTGTTGCTTGATTTGAGGACTGCGCGTGCACAAAGGCGTCACCAGGTTTATGCGTGGTTTAGAGAGACAAATCGTACCAGCGTACTTTGACGTCAAAATGCGTAACCGTTACGCAAAATGCGTACATGTTGGCAGGTCTGCAGTCCCGCTCTTCTTCTGAGGAAAATGCGATCTCTTCGTCACTATCCAAGACGAGCTGAAGAGCTTCCTCACCTGTGCCATCTTCCAAACGCGCAGGAAAGTGAATGAAACTTATGATGAAACTTAATGATTTTTAATGCATTGTTGGGGGCGTTTACCATTTCGCATAGATTGCCTCAACACATTATCTTATGAATAGCGCGCTCTGCGCTTGGGTGTGATCCCTTTAAAGACCCACTCCGATGAAAATAATGTTTTTCTAGGTGTTAACATGTTCTTGTGGCATTTTTCTGATGTTAGAGGACATACCTTGAGAAAAATAAGCTCAAAGTTGTATTTCTGAGTATTTCTACATTCAAATGGCTGTGAATCAGTAGCAGACGCTAAAATGCCGGCTAAAATAGACTGGAGTTGTGACGTAGTAACTCCACTGGGCGTCTCCACACGCGACGTCTTGGAGTGAAATAATGATCGGTGATCGGTGATAACTTTGATTAACTTCGGATAATAACAATTAACGTGTATATAATACTGTTGCCCCACCGGTATTGGGGGTGTAAGCTAGCGGGAGAGACAGAGCTCTCAGCAACGGGCAGGGGGAGGGTCGTCTCCGTGCCAACGGCTCCGCCCACAACGCAGAGGCGAATTGCTAATGAGCTACTGCCGCTCTGCTGAAGCGAAGTCCCAGAAAACGGCACAGGTTTTGTGATTTTGGCTAAAAATGGCATAATCATAATTTAAAGACCACTGGGAATGTTTAAAAATAGCTCAAAATATGATCGGAGTGGGACTTTAACGATAATTAGCTGAGACAGGAGAAACTGTACATCTCGATAGTTTCATACAGATTACATTGCAGGAGAATATTTGTTTTAAATGTGAATTGTTTTATTTAAAAGTAGACATTTCAAGCTTTCTTTAGACGTATGTTTTGTTTGTGTGATAAGTATTCGCTGAGTTTCAGTTCATTATTCAGACGTCTTTCAGAAAGTTTCTTGCGGAGACAGCGACAGCTGAAAGCGCACCCTGTTTAATTTCTTTATTTTACAAAAACACAAGGATTTGTTGTTATTGTGAGTGAACACAAATAAAAGAAGACCCTTTATAGTTTATAAAGACTTATATGTATGGCCAAAAATGACGGAGTTGTTTAGGCTGAGGGAAAAATCCAGCAGAACGCAACGGCGTGTTCTTTTGGGTTTAGAGGGTTAACTAAACTGGTTTTGTGATGCTTCTAAAAAATTCGACATTTTAATTAAAGGGTGGAGATTTCTGTCCATCCATTGACAGCTATGCAACTAAACACTTTGAGGCTTCAAAAAGTTCTGAAGAGATCGTAAAAGTAATCTAATCTAATTTCCTGAAGAGACTTGATCGCTTTATAAGCTAAACAGATTTACTTTAGGCTATTATTCATAATATAAACATTCATCAACACACACGAGTTGTGGAAACAGAAGCTCAAGCATGTTTAGAGAAATGAGGTTCAAGAAATGAGGTTCATTCTCGTGTTAAGCAGCAGGCTTGAGCTTCCGCAAGAACCAATGAGAACTGCAAGAACTTCTGTATTATTTTTCCCAATTAAATGTGTGACTTCATGTCATAATACGAATGTTCAATATGAAAGTAGGATCTTCTCATGTTCACTTGAAGGCAGTGTTATTATTTGTCTGAACATGTGATGTCAACATGACTGTCCACATGAGGGACCCACTCCATATCAAATACAACCACTTTAATTCCTCAGAAAATATTATTCAGTTCAGCTTTGAGAATGAAACCAACCTGTTTGTTCCTCAGTATCTTCATGTTTCACTCTGAATGTTTCTTCAATCTTCATGTCTTCACTCTCCTCTTTAATGAATGTGATCTTTGTTTGATCCTCAGTATCTTCTTGTTTCACACTGCTAGCTTCTTCAGTCTTCATTTCTTCACTCTCCTCTTTAATAAACGCCATCTTTATCGTGGGTCACGTGAATCGCTTCACCAGGGGTTTCTCTGTTTATTTAGACAATATTGTCATGATTAAGATGAGAATAATTAACAGAAAGAAAAATAAATCCAAACTAAATCTCTGGGTGCGTCTCAATCAGCTCCCTATAGTTCAAACTACCATAGCTCCCTAATTACTACAAATAAAAAACATAAAAAAACATGGTTATTGTAGTTAAACCATGCTAATCACAAATTAACCATGGTTTTGCTACACTGTTATAGTTTAAACATGTTATTGTCATGTTATTATAACTTGAGCAAAGAGTTCTTTGGCGTGAGTGAGCAGGAGTAAGTATTCCGTTGCTTTTATGGACTCATTATCTATGGGCTTCTCTCTTGACGGGACGTCCCCCCGATTGCCTGCGAGCTTCTCCTCCTGTCTGTACGGTCATTTCTGTACAGCGCGACAGAGAGTCGAGTGGTTATGACGCAATCGTTAGCCTATTTTTACTAAAACTGTTTCTACGGGGCCATAATGTAACATAGAAGGTAATGGAGCCCTTTATACATTGTCGTGTTTCTTTAGAAATAAATAATGGACAAATGGAGTCTTTAAACGCCTCAGATGTAAAGTTATTCGCTGTCAAAGTGACGCCAAAATGAATAGTAGTCAATGGAAATGCTAACGCAAGTGAAGTTCTGCTACAAGATGGCGGTACCCGGCCGGCTTCAACTTCCGGTCGATGGATTACCCCCTTGCCCCTGACTGAACATTTTAGGAGCGCAAGCAGAAAATTTAGGGGCACACCTTAAATCAGCTTGCAATGCAATTATTCAAATTTTCCCCAAAATAACTATAATACTGACACATTCTTTAATAATAAACAGACTTAACGTACAGATTTTACAATGTGCATTTGAGGGCAGCATCACCGGAGCCACTGAGTTCTACAAAAAATATCTGGAAGCACTGGGGCTGACAATACACCACTAAGCTTAATTTAAGGTGTAGATGAAATAAACTTTAATTATTATCATTCATAATGTCTTAATATTAATTTAAAAAGCAAAAGGAGTGAAAAAAATAAATAAAATTAAATTAGGGAGTGAAAATAGCCAACAAACATCCTAACAATGGTAATAATTTTTTTTTTTTTTTTTTTTAAATAGCCTAAGTGTTTAAATAAGAGTTTTCCTATATCTTAAAATGTTTAGTTGTAGGACAAACTTTGAAGCATGAACAAAAAATGTGTTGGTCATCACAAAATATTAAAAAAAAACATTTATATATGATATTATAGTTTTGAAGTGCTGGAAAAAGATGTGTAGGCCTAGTACTTAAGCGTTTGTCTATTTCTGTCACAATACTGTAGTTATGGTTAGAGTTGCTACATTAGCCTAAATCCATGGTGAATGTTGCTGATTTGTGGACTGAAAGTCTTTTAAGTGTTTCTCCTGGTTTCCATGTCAGCGCTGTTTGATCTGATATCTATGGTTTATAACAGAGAAGTCTGCGCCGAATCGGAATGTTTCTCACTGGATCTCGTATTATGTTATTAATTCTGAGGCGAATTCAATGGATTTCTTCACTGGATCTCCTCCTAGTAACAGTTGTCGCGTGAACGAGATCAGCCCCCGACTGGAAAGTTCAGGGCGCTGCGCTGTCTATTATTGGTCCGAACTAATAAACGGTCTGTGAAGCATAAATGAGTAGCGCGTTTTCGTTCCGCTTTCATTTTTTCATTTTCGCTGCTCAGCAACGTTGTGGTTAAATAAATATTTGGTCACACCGGCAGGAAAAATGGTCGCAAAATGCGACCAATTGGTCTCAGCCTGGAGCCCTGCTATAATAAAACCATGATTAATTTCCGGACTAAAAAGAACATAAATTATACTGTTCATTTTATTAGTTTAAAGTTGGTATTTAAAGCTGCAGCTTCTCTTTCTCTCCATCTCTGTTCGAAATCTGCAATTGCAGTTCTTCGTGGATTTATCAACTTTAAGTGGGTTGTGCCTCGGCACAGCACAGCGTGGATGAATCCAATGTTTTGAGGAGAACATGACACCGCGCCGGTGTGGATACTGTCATTCGCAATCACAGATTCCACTTTTTGGATGTATGACCAACATAAGAATTTTCACCGGAGAATGTCATCTGAACAAGTAAGTAACATCCACTTTTGTTCTGACCAACAAAGGGGAAAAAAGCATTGCAGTAAATCACGCTGATTAAATCTAACGATCGCTTTGTTGTCAAATTGTTAATGTTAACAACGTCAGCATTGCGTGACTACATTTAATGCCCTTCCGATATTATCCTCGTTTTCGCATGGGTCCGGGTGCAGTATCTTTTTTTCTGTAGCCACTCCGAAGTCTTTTACATTTTACAGCGGGTGAATCTCTAGTTGTCACTGGTGATTGTCGTTTGAACCTTTCTGGATCCGCCATCAAATTGATAAGTTTAATTATATCAAGTGCTGTGAGAAAAGGCTATAAATCTCCACCTCCAACATCCTCACTCGCAATATAGCCGACTACCTTAGACTCTTCTTTATGTGTACAGATGTGGCGTGATGACGCAAAGATATGCTTGCATTTCCCACGGAAATCCACCAGTACCACTGGAGTTAAAACCATTATTACAAGCTTACCGTTTTGAATCGAGCTAAGGCAAGCAGAGAGTTTTGAACACTGGCTGGTTATGTACTTGTTCAATTTATTTAGGATAATTTTTAACTCAAAAGAGTTATGGAATGCAGCTTTAATTATTTGTATATTATATTTAATAGATTCCATTTTCAAGAAACATTTACAGTTGGTTTGTAAAAGTTAATTAATTACACTTGTGTTTTGTTTTCTCGTTGCATTTACCCTGTTTTGACCAGCATGTCTCGTCAACAAGTGGTGATTCGAGCGATTCAAATCACTGAATCATTAAGTGAATCATTTGATTCAATTGACTCGGAGTATCAAAAACCTCATCATAACTTTCTCTAGTGACCAAATCCGTGTTCACGATAAACTGATTCACGACATACAACGAAAAATGAGACGCACCTTTTCTGTTATTCTGTTTACTCACAGAAAATATCGCACATTAATGTTAGATAAAGCAATACAATTGTACATTTAATGCAAACTAATTCCTTTAGGATCGCCTCTAATAATTATAAAATAGACTGAATGATTTATCTATTCAAACACGTTAAATGCTTAAAAACACAAACCTTTCTTCAGCCGAATCACAACAGACAGAGGGTAGCGACGCAGATTTATGACGTCACATCGTCAGACTAAAAAAAAAAAGTCCCGTTCACGCGCTGCTATCTAAAGTCACAAAAGTACATAGACATTTAAATGCAAAACACACACATAGTAAAAACAATCAAAAACTAAATAGTGTATTCAATATTTGAATCCTTGGAGAAATGCATGTTGTCTAATGATGCGCTGAAAGAGTTTGTAGCACATCTTGTGAGATTCTGTGCTGTGTTTGGGTGCAGAAACCATTTATACCAGGGGTTGGTAACTTATTTTTCAGTAACTAGACAGTTTTAAATTGACGTTTGGATGTATTTTTCTAATGTGCCATAGCAAAAACTATAATTATTATACAATAAACAATGTTTGTCAATAAAATCAAACCTTTATTTGGGCCACAGACAAACACAGAAACAATATATAGGTAAATTGTTACAATATGTTTTATTAATTGTGCAAAATTAATAGTGACTGTGTGATTTTCCTCTTTGAATAATTTTCCATGGCTTTGTGAATTAGTTGTATAAAAGCAATTGATGGCCAGGATGAGGAGCAGCAGAGAGAAAGAGAGACAGAGAGGATGAACTGATGGAGTTAATCAGAAAAGAAGACATGAGGTTTCAGAGAGAGACAGAGAAGAAGAGGAGAGCAGGGAGAGGATGGACAGACTCTTCTCTCTACTTGAGAGTTTGATTAATTAGGGCCCAAGCCCAAAGGGCGAAGGCCCTATTGTTTTCCTTAGGATTATTTATTATTATTATTATTATTATTATTATTATTATTATTATTATTATTTTTCTGCTACCTTTTGGACACTTTTGGAGGCCTTAACATGCTCAAAAACTCCTGAAACTTTGCACACATGTCAGAACCCGCGGCCATCAGGGCCGGGCTGAAGATGGTACCCGGGCGTGGCAGGGGGGCTCGACAGCGCCCCCTGGAACGGGGTCCGAAAACATGGTCCATAAATCAAACACGCTTGCATGTAATAATATGAAACTCGGTACACATGTAGATCTCCTCGTTTCATATATACTTCACACTCTTACTTTTTACCCCAGCCCAACAGGAAGTCGGCTATTTAGGGTTGTTGGTAAAACACACGCAATGGAATGTGAAATACTCCTCCTAGAGAATTCAAACAAACGGCACGAAACTCGGTCAGCATGAAGTCAAGACATTGAGGATGAAAGTTTGCGAGGGGATTTTTGATATCTCGAACGGTTTGGCCGTGGCGAGGAAACGAATTTATGGCGAGAAACAACAAACAAGAAGTGCGTTATAACTTCTGCATACATTAACTGATCTTGATGAAACTTCAACAGTATGTTCGCTGTAAGAGGCCGATCACATGGATGTGACTATTGTGAGTCAAAGTTATAGCGCCACCAACTGGCAGCAGGAAGTGTGTCACTTTCTAAATGCTTTTGACAAAAGTGGGGGGGTTAGTTTTATCTACAGTAACAAAACTCGATATGTATATTGTACTCTTCGAGCCGGACAACTTTCTAATTTACCGTAATTAGCTACGACCAACAGGAAGTCAGATATTTTGGTTTGAATGTGGATTTCAGATTCTGAGTTTTTAGCTACTCCTCCTAAGTAGTTTATTTTATTCATGCCAAACTTTTTCAACATGATGAAAATACATTGAAGATGCTAAATTGTGAACAGATATTGAATATCTCAAACGGTTTTGCTATGGTTGAGGGATTCAAGTAATGTCAAAAAAAGAATCAGGGCATGTCTCATATCTTTCTAAAATGTAATTATACAC